CATTAGTTGTCTGATCATTTTCGAGAAACAGCAAACCCCCCAAAAAAAAAACAATATAGGTGTACTTTTTATTTTAAATTATATGTATTCTCATATGCCAACTTGCCCATCAACTCCATGTCCAGCTATTGCTGTTCAGTGGCACTTTCCCACTACCACTATCTGAATGATAGCATTTGTTGACTCTGGTGCAGTGGCTAGTTTTATCTCTGGTCAAGGATTTTGCTTGGTTCCTCAGAGCCTTCAAGTTTCGGTCATTGATGGAACTATTCTGGACTCGGGTCCTATTCATTCCTGCGCCACTCCCATCAAGATGTCGGTGGGATTGCTTCACCAGGAATTTATCTCCTTTTTGGTGTTACGGCTGGCCACCTCTAAGTTAGTGCTGGGTCTGCCTAAGCTTCAACAACATTTCCTAGTAATTGACTGGTCTGATCCTTATTTGTTATTTGGGGGTCCACCTGTCAAACCAATTGTCTAGGCAAGGTTGTTCCAGTCAAAACCCTTCCAGTCACATACACTGAGGTTTCTTCTCTTCCCTCCTAGTGCCAGTGTAGTACTCTGAATCTCTGGTTGTGTTTTCCAAAAATGGACCAATTTTCTCTCCACAAACCCAATGATTGTTCCATAGACCTAGTCCCAGGTTCCAGCATCCCTAGGGGCTGCATATATCCCCTCAGTCTCCGTGATATGAAGGCCATGTCCACGTACATTACAGAAAATCTCCAAAAAAGATTTATCCGAAAATCCTCCTCTCCCACTGGAGTGGGGTTCTTAAAAAACACAGTTCCCATCGTCCTTTTATTGACTAATGGGAATTAAATACCATTACAATTAAAAAGTATAACCCACTGCCACTTATTATTGAGTTGTTTGATCGACTTCGTAGGGCACAAGTTTTCACGAAATCTAATTCATATCGAAGAGGGAGATGAGCGTAAGACTTCATTTAACACCAGGGACAAGACTCTGTCACTTAAAGGCAGTTATGAAAATCTGAGACCGGATTCGCATTTAGGGTGAATGCGATGTTCCAGACTAAAGTTTCTAGGCAGAGAAAGCTCCAGCTTTGGCTTTCTCTGGATTCTGCAGCTCTGGATCAGAACATTCAATCTTGTGTCTGAGTTTTGCTAGACACCTGCAATATGGAGTTCACAGGTGTGAGGTATCGTTATATACTAAAGTCTGAGAATAGCTGAGGGCTTCCAGTTGGAGATGGAAGGTCTCAGCGAGGGGTCAGAGGACCCAGCTGGAAGCCAAGAGACAGTCTCAGTTCCAGGGGTCAGGTCGGCTCCTATCTGGATGGAGGCCAGAGGTGGGCCTTAAAGCAGGACGCTGTGTCTAAAGGCTAGAGAGCCAATTATACAGGAGAGGCAATGCAATTGAAGCTAAGAGAGCTTATGAGCCAGGTGGCTTGGCATTTTCCAGTACATGGATTTCTGATGAAGTTGGAGAAGATCTCCTCCTTGGGAAATCATTTGTTTGTAAACTTTTGCTTTCTTTAAATAAAAGTGGGCTTCCAAGCCCTTAAAAATATGTTGTTCCTGTCTGCCGTGGACTCACTAAAATAAAGCATCTATTGCGAGAGCTACCTATCCCATGTCACAATCTCTATTCAAGCCATTGGTTTTTAATACGTTTTCTCATTTCTCAATGCTGGCAACGACTCCTACCAACCCTTCTCAAAAATATAAAGTTAATCAAATCTTGGATTCTAAAGTCTCCCATGGTAAACTCCAGTGCCTGATTGATTTTAATGGCTTTTGCCCTGGGAAAAAATCCTGGGTTCCCGCTTCTGATGTTTCTGCTCCTCAGCTGGTAAAGAGATTCCACCTTTGCCTTCTTTGAAACATGGACCTTGGCAGCCGGGAAGGCCCGTAAAAAGGGGGGGGGGGGTAATGTCACGCTATGAAAACACTAAAGATGGACACAGGCATATGTGCCAAGCCTTATGATGGAGTGAGGTATGTCTAGCGGTTAATGGGAACGACTGGCCTGCCAAACACCACATGGCGGCCGTGCACTTAAATAGGGATGTCCCCCAGCGCATGTGGTGCACAGAGTCACTTCGCTTAACAGCAGAATGAAACCACGTCAATACTCACTGAACGAATAACATGATGCGTCACTGCACCTCTGACATGTGAAAGGAGGCTGCTGCATCCAAAAACATGGAGAAACACACATGGACCACCACACAGGCCCCTCCTGCAGCTACTGCAGGATAGGCCCATGATAGCGGCCAATAAAATAGGCCGCCCCCAATAAATCCAGCAGGGGAGACCTATACGTGGTAGGTGGTGACTGTTGTGTCCCAATAGGGGCCCACCAACTCCCCCCAGTGGACATCTGGCATAGTTACATAGTAATGTTGCATAGTTAGTCTTGCTGAAAAAAGACCAAAGTCCATCCAGTTCAACCAAAAAAAAAAAAAAAGTTATAATCCTTATACCCACAGTTGATCCAGAGGAAGGCAAAAAAAATCCCCAGCAAAACATGATCCAATTTTCTCCTGCAGGGGAAAAAAATTATTTCCTGATCCCCCGAGAGGCAATCCCTCAATCAACTTTACCTATATATGTTAGTATCCAGTTATATTATGTGTATCTAGGAAAGAATCCAGGCCATTTTTAAAACAATCTGCTGAGCTGACCAGAACCAACTCTTGAGTCTATTCCACATTGTCACAGCTTTTACTGTGAAGAAACCTTTCAATGTTTGGAGATTAAATCTTCTTTCCTCCAGATGTTAATAGTGTCCCCTTGTCCACTGTGATGACCTAAGGGTGAATAACTCTACACCGAGTTCACTATATGAACCACTGATGTGGTTACATGTACAGTATATAAACACGTTGATCATATCCCCCGCTCCTCTTCTCAAGAGAGAACAAATTCAGTTCCTCTAACCTTTCCTCATAGCTGAGCTCCTTAATGCCTCTTTTCAGTTTGGTTGCCCTTCTCTGCACTTTCCCCAGTTCCTCAATGTTCTTTTTGTGAATTGTTGCCCAAAACTGAACTGCATATTTCAGATGAGGTGTTACCAATGATTTGTACAGGGGTAAAATTATATCTCTTTCTGGAGTCTATACCTCTTTAAATACGAGAGAGGATTTTGCCCACTTTAGAAACTGCAGCTTGGCATTGCATTCCATTATTATGCTCATGATCTACCAAAACTCCCAGATCCTAGGTGGAGAAGGCTCCACCATTGATTCCCCCAGTTGTACTCCCCTGTTAGGAATGGACTGGCCAGCAATGGTGGGACTCACCTGCCTTTTGATCTGCAGTACCAGGGCTGGCCAGCGGGTGCTCCCAGCAATCAGAGACTCAACCTTTCAGCAGCAGCTAACACCTGGAACTGATGATACTGGTGTATTTTAAGGGATGGCCAGACTTGCAGACTCTGCCTTGGTGTTGTGTTTGTCCTGGGCCCTGTATCTGTCCTGCATCCTGTTTCTGTCCCTCTGCCTGACCCTCTGTACTACGCTGCTTGTTACCTGTTTTGATCTCTGGCTTGTGACCCTGACCATCCCTCTGCCTGACCCTCTGTACTACGCTGCTTGCTACCTGCTGAACCTGGCCTGTGACCCCGACCATTCTCTGCTTGCTCCCCCTGTACTTACCTGCCCAATTGATATTGACCCGGCCTGCCTGACGACGCTTGCTTGTATGTACTGTTATCTGTGGGTGGTTTGGTTTGTTTGCACTGTATTATGTTTAGTATTGCACTGCGTTTATGTTTGTACTGTTAGTGTTAATAAATTATATTGTTTATAACATATCTGATGTCTGCGTTTCCCTGCTTCAGTCACACACCTCTGGTCATACCTGGGAGCCCTGACATTACACCAAGGCCAATCCTGACCAGAAGTGGCTGCACAGGGAAGCCATCTTGGCTTGTTGATGGGAAGGATGGATCTTGAGGAGGTTGAGTATTTATATCTGCTAGTGTTTGATGACAGGGAGTATGCTTATCAAACTCTGAAGGAGTATACCCGGGATGAATTGCTAGAATGTATACGGCTCGCTCATGTTCTAGTAGATCAGGGCACAGTGTTCTCTGAGGGTGCAGCCATTGATTGAGGTTTGTGCAGAGTTGGTTTCATCTGGTTCCCCCGAATGCAGGGATGAATTTTTTGCCACCATTTAGTGCAGACCAGGTAGAGTCCCTGGTGTGGTTATTAGAGGATGATGTGGGTTACTTTATGGAGCGTTATTCCACATGTTCACCACAGACACTGAGAGATTGTATAAACGCAGTGCAGTCATTGACCAGACAGACTTTGTGTAAGCTCAGCTTTGTTCAACCCTTACTGCAGACATGGACAGACTTGTTGCACCCAGCCTCAGTCAGCTTACAAAGACCCAGTCCTGCTTCTAACTCTACTCCTGTATTCCCACCAGCTCCTCCAGTTACAGCCCAGTATACTTGGCTATCTACCGCATGTCAGTACCCTGTTCCCACTCGCTGCACCTATCCTGCCTTTAACCCTGTAAAAAAGCCTCTGTAGCAACTGCTCCCTCTCCTGTTCCATCCTCCAGTTCTTCTCTGTCTCCAGCTGCTCCATTCGTTTGCAGACCTGCGTTTACTTGTAGTGCTCCAGTAGTTAAAACCAGAAAAAAAAGCGAAAATTCTTTCCAACCAATACCATCCTGCCAGTATCCAAACCGGTGAGCCTGCCTTCCGTGGTTCAGACTGATGCCTGTACGCAGCCTGAAGCCTCTACTCGGCCTGATGCCTGTACTCGGCCTGAATGCCTCTACTCGGCCTGAAGCCTCTACGCGGCCTGAAGCCTCTCCTCAGCCTGAAGCCTCTACGCGGCCTGAAGCCTCTACTCGGCCTGACTGCCTGTACTTCAGCCTGATGCCTGTACTCGGCCTGATGCCTGTACTCGGCCTGATGCCTCTCTTCAGCCTGAAGCCTCTCTTCAGCCTGAAGCCTCTACTCGGCCTGATGCCTCTACTCGGCCTGATGCCTCTACTCGGCCTGATGCCTGTACTCGGCCTAATGCCTCTACCCAGCATGATGAACTGATCCAGCCTGACGATCCTATTAGGCCAGTTGACTCGATGCCCGCTGTTGATCCAGATGATCCGGTACCTGATCCGGTGCCCGCTGTCGTGCCAATTGACTCAGAGCCCTGCTGTCGTACCTGGTGACTCGGTGCCCACTGCCTTGCCAGATGACCTGATGCCTGGTGACCTAGTGTCCGCTGTCATACCTGATGACCCGATGCCCGCTGTCGAGCCAGACAATCCGGTACCTGATGACCCGGTGCCCACTGTCGTGCCTGTTGACTCGGAGACCACTGCCTTGCCAGATGACGCGGTGCCCGCTGTCGAGCCAAATGACCTGATGCCTGGTGACCCGATGCCCGCTGTCCAGTCAGACGATCCAATGTCTGACCCAGTGCCCGCGGTCATACCAGTTGACTCGGAGCCCACTGCCTTGTCCAGATGACGCGGTGCCCGCGGGTCGAGCCAAATGACCTGATGCCTGGTGACCCGATGCCCGCTGTCCAGCCAGACGATTCAATGTCTGCCCCGGTGCCCGCGGTCATGCCAGTTGACTCGGAGCCCACTGCCTTGCCAGATGACGCGGTGCTCGCTGTCGAGCCAAATGACTTGATGCCTGGTGACCGATGCCCGCTGTCCGGTCAGACGATCCAATGTCTGACCCAGTGCCCGCGGTCATACCAGTTGACTCGGAGCCCACTGCCTTGCCAGATGACGCGGTGCCCGCTGTCGAGCCAAATGACCTGATGCCTGGTGACCCGATGCCCGCTGTCCAGCCAGACCATCCAATGTCTGACCCAGTGCCTGCGGTCATACCAGTTGACTCGGAGCCCACTGTCGTGCCTGGTGTCTCGGTGCCCGCCGCTCCGCCTGGGGGCCCGAGACCTGTTGCTCCGCTTGGGGGTCCAGCGCGCCCGCCGCTCCGCCTGGGGATCCCGGCAGCCCGCCGCCCCGCCTGGGGGCCCGAGACCTGTCGCTTAACCTGAGGGCCCGAGACCTGTCGCTCCGCCTGGGGGTCCGGCGCCCGCCGCTCCGCCTGAGGGCCCGAGACCTGTCGCTCCGCCTGGGGGTCCGGCGCCTGCCGCTCCGCCTGAGGGCCCGAGACCTGTCGCTCCACCTGGGGGTCCGGCGCCCGCCGCTCCGCCTGAGGGCCCGAGACCTGTCGCTCCATCTGGGGGTCCGGCGGCCCGCGTCCTCCTGAGGGCCCGAGACCTGTCGCTCCTCCTGGGGGTCCGGCGCCCGCCGCTCCGCCTGAGGGCCCGAGACCTGCCGCTCCGCCTGGGGGTCCGGCACCTGCCGCTCCGCCTGAGGGCCCGAGACCTGTCGCTCCACCTGGGGGTCCGGCGCCCGCCGCTCCGCCTGAGGGCCCGAGACCTGTCGCTCCTCCTGGGGGTCCGGCGCCCGCCGCTCCGCCTGAGGGCCCGAGACCTGTCGCTCCGCCTGGGGGTCCGGCGCCTGCCGCTCCGCCTGAGGGCCCGAGACCTGTCGCTCCACCTGGGGGTCCGGCGCCCGCCGCTCCGCCTGAGGGCCCCGAGACCTGTCGCTCCATCTGGAGGTCCGGCGCCGCCGCCGCTCCGCCTGAGGGCCCGAGACCTGTCGCTCCGCCTGGGGGTCCGGCGCCCGCCGCTCCGCCTGGGGGCACGATGCCCGTCGCCCCGCCTGGGGGCACGATGCCCGTCGCCCCGCCTGGGGGCACGATGCCCGTCGCCCCGCCTGGGGGCCCGATGCCCGTCGCCCCTCCTGGGGGCCCGATGCCCGTCGCCCCGCCTGGGGGCCCGATGCCCGTCGCCCCGCCTGGGGGCCCGATGCCCGTCGCCCCGCCCGGGGGCCCGGTGCCTGCCGCTCCGCCCGGGGGCCCGGTGCCTGCCGCTCCGCCCGGGGGCCGGTGCCTGCCGCTCGCCGGGGGCCCCGATGCCTGCTGCTCTCGCCTGGTAATCCTGCCCGATGTGCCTCTGCCCGGAGTCCTGCCCGATGTGCCTCTGCCCGGAATCCTGCCCGATGTGCCTCTGCCCGGAGTCCTGCCCGATGTGCCTCTGCCCGGAGTCCTGCCCGATGTGCCTCTGCCCGGAGTCCTGCCCGATGTGCCTCTGCCCGATGTGCCTCTGCCCGGAGTCCTGACCGATGTGCCTCTGCCCGGTGTGCCTCTGCTCGATGTGCCTCTGCCCGGAGTCCAGCCCGGTGTGCCGCTGCCCGGAGTCCTGCCCGGGTGTGCCAGTCTTTGATATCCCGCCAGTTGCCAGACCCAGGCGGTGGAACATTTTGCCCAGCTAGGACTGTTTGGAGCGTCCTGAGGCCGCTCCTTGAGGGGGGGGTACTGTTAGGAATGGACTGGCCAGCAATGGTGGGACTCACCTGCCTTTTGATCTGCAGTACCAGGGCTGGCCAGTGGGTGCTGCTCCCAGCAATCAGAGACTCAACCTTTCAGCCAGCTAACACCTGGAACTGATGATACTGGTGTATTTAAGGGATGGCCAGACTTGCAGACTCTGCCTTGGTGTTGTGTTTGTCCTGGGCCCTGTATCTGTCCTGCATCCTGTTTCTGTCCCTCTGCCTGACCCTCTGTACTACGCTGCTTGTTACCTGTTTTGATCTCTGGCTTGTGACCCTGACCATCCCTCTGCCTGACCCTCTGTACTACGCTGCTTGCTACCTGCTGAACCTGGCCTGTGACCCCGACCATTCTCTGCTTGCTCCCCCTGTACTTACCTGCCCAATTGATATTGACCCGGCCTGCCTGACGACGCTTGCTGGTATGTACTGTTATCTGTGGGTGGTTTGGTTTGTTTGCACTGTATTATGTTTAGTATTGCACTGCGTTTATGTTTGTACTGTTAGTGTTAATAAATTATATTGTTTATAAACATATCTGAGGTCTGCGTTTCCCTGCTTCAGTCACACACCTCTGGTCATACCTGGGAGCCCTGACATCCCCCTAGTATGTATAAAGCATTCATATTCTTAGCCCCCAAGTGCTCAACCTTACATTTATCAACATGATACCTCATTGGCCACATAGTTGCCCAATTAAACAGTGCATTGAGGTCAGCTTGTAAGTTGGAGACATCCTGTAAGGACGTTATTCCACTGCAGTTTGTTTTCATCTGCAAAGACTGAAATGGTATTTTTAATCCCAGACCCTATATCGTTTATAAATGTATTAAAAAGTAAGTGTCCCTACTCTGAACCGTGGGGTACACCACTAAAAAACCTACACCATTCAGAGTATGAATCATTAACCACTACTCTCTGATCTTTTAGTCAGTTTTCTATTCATTTACATACTGGTTTTCCCAAGCCAGAAGACTTTACCTTACACATTAGCCGTGTGTGTGGGGAACTGTGTCAAACGCTTTTGCAAACTCCAAGTATACCACGCGCACTCCACAGCTACCCCTCTGTCCAAGGTTTTGCTCACCTCCTCATAAAAAGAAATCAGATTTGTCTGACAACTTCTGTCTCATGAATCCATGCTGTCTGTTGCTTAAAATATTTTTTTCCAGCAAGAACTCATCGATGTGGTCTTTTATTAAACTTTACAGTATCTTTCCAACTATAGATGTTAAACTAATAGGTCTATTGCTTGGTAAAGATTTTGATCCCTTTTTAAATATAGGCTCCACATTGGCCTTATGCCAATCCAGTGGGTACTATTCCAGCCATTAAAGAGTCCCTAAAAATGATAAATAATGGCTTTGAAACGACAGAGCTCAATTCTTTAAGGACCTGTGCGTGTATGCCATCTTGGACGGTGCTTTATTCACCTTTATTATGTCTAAATATTTCTGGATCATATTCTGTATCACAGTTTCGGAAGCTCTAAAATGCCAGGATAGTGCAAACACCCCCCCTCCATGACACCCATTTGTAAAGTAGACACCTCAAGGAATTTAATAAGAGGCATGGTGAGTATTTTACAGATATTATTTTTGTCACAGGGTTTTGAAAAAACAAAAATACATTTTTGATTTCTTTCTTCGATTTCCCAAAACACGTGGCAACAAATGAGATCTGCAAAATACTCAACATGCCTGTTAGCAAATACCTTGGAGTGTCTACTTTCCAAAAAGGGGTCATTTGGAGCGGTTGCTTCTACTATCCTGGCATTTCAGGTCAACATTAGAAGCTTATGCTACACATCGCCCACTCTTGAAGACCAAGCCTTTTCTGACACTGTTTGTTCACATGGAAAAAAAACTGTTTTTTTTTTGCTAGAAAATTACCTTGAACCCCCACGCATTATATATATATTTTTAAAGTAGAGGCCCTAGAGAAGAAAACGGTAGGTGTTGAAATTTTTTATGCCACACAGCGATTTTTCAAACGCAAATCTTTTGGGAAAAATACATTTTTTAGAATTTTAATGCACAAAAACACAATATATTGCCAAATTGTTTGATAAAATATAAAAGATGATGTTATGCTGAGTAAATAGATACCAAACATGACATGTTTTAAAATTGCTCATGCCTGTGCAATGGCGATAAAGTTATTTGTAATATCGATAGGCGATGCTTTAAAAGCTTTTACCGGCCAACAATTTATATTTACACAGGCGAACTAGTGATATAATTATTCAGACCCAGATTGTTGTGATAGCAATTTATCCCTTGTGAGACCTCTATGCCTAGCCTGTATAAGCAGATATAATCACTCTGGGCAATCCTTATCAGATAACTGAACTCACCAATACTGTGTTCATCCAGAAGTTACTTTATTCTGTACATTTGACAACAGGATACAGCAGAAAATGAATGGTTTCCAGTATTATGCGGTCAAAAGATGATACTTTCTGTAGCATACTATGCAGAGTACATGTGTCCCTGTTACATGTGGACTGTTAGCTGCCTCCATGACACAGGAAGTGCTGTACTCAAGAAGAAGGGAGGAGCTTCATATGCAAAGGAATTGTGTCATAGATCTCAGGGAGGTAATATAAAAAACAAATGCATTACCAAATAAGGCACTGGATGGCAGCATATAACTAACTATAGAAATATCTATAGGAAATGGTACAAAGAATAAACTATATGAATTCTCATGTACATTAACATAAATATTAACTGTGTAACAGCATAATAATTAGTGTCCTCGATGTGGCGTTCACGGTGATATCTTACATGCATGGTGTAATCTCTGTTTACATACTGACACGGGACCAAAGCTTGAGTTGCCTTTGCTCACAAGCATGGGGGTGGGAGGAGGGGCAGAGGTGTTTTTTTAATGTTGGGTTTTTTTATTTTACACTGTCCCTTTTTTTTTTCTTTTTTTTTTGATCACTTTTATTGTTATTACAGGGAATGTAAATATCCCCTGTGATAGCAATAGGCAGTGACAGGTATTCTTTTATGAGAAATATGAGGTCTATTAGACTCTAGATATCTCCTCTGTCCTTAAATCATCTGATCACACCAAGATCGGTGTGATCAGATGCTTTCCCAATTTAAAAATGGCGCTGCTAAAGTCCGGCAAAATGGAAATTATGAAATGCTTGTAGCTTCTGGTCTCTTAGACCATAGAGATGTTTGGAGCCATTCTGGTCTCTGATCAGCTCTATGGTCAGCTAGCGGAATTGCTGGCTGCTTTCCCGGAAAAAACATACCACGATGATGCCTGCAGCTG